AGATTTTCTGTCCTAAATCAAATCGGGACCTTATGATGATTTGAGGGACAATATTTGAAGTAGCATTTCTTCAGCATCATTTTCACTTATAAGTATGTAAGAGACGGGAACAACCCAAAGTATGACTAATTTAGATGCCGAAATAGCATATAAAGGCACATACGGAGAAGTGGCCATTTGACAATATTGTTAAATCATACTTGGGTTTTTCTCCCTTTAAATGTATTTTGAGCTTTGTGAAATGACCTTTCCAACACGGACGCTTTTTTTGCCGGGGAGCCATGCATAACATATAGGCCTACTCAGCATTGTGGATAATCATCCTGAGGGCACCTGGCCTGGGAAATGGCGACTCAGGGACATCGAAATGCTGATCCAGGATTAATACAGTGCTTAGAAAGTGAAGAACATTACAGGTCAGCGCACAGCAAGCAATGGGATACCATATTGCAGGTGCATTGCCTCCCTAGCAAAAGAAGATAGAGAGGTCACATTGCTTTAGCAATTAAAAAACACTTCTCTAAATATTTTCAGTCTGACACCTTCACAGATATTGAAATTAGCTCATAATAATGCATTTATGCCGTTTGATTTTGTCGACTCTGATCGTAAACACCATGGTTAATTAATTGAGCCAGGATGCAAACATGACATTTTCAAATCACTTCAGCATATGACGGTTTTGGTTCCATGCTTGTTAATATAGCAGATACTGTATTGATCCCTGTCAGTGGTAGTCATTTTCACCTTTTACATTTGTTGCTATAATTTAATTAAATTCTAATAATTTAATTTGCCTGCTCAGTTTTGCTAAATTTGTATTTGAAGAAGAGATGAGTGCAGATTGATAGTAGGAGAAACTTCATAGGAATGAATTAATAAGCATTTTAATGAATTATTAAGTGGAAGTGATAGAAAGATTCCAGCTTTTTATCACATACCCCGAAAGCAAAATTCCAGCTTCTCTGGGACAGTTGTAATAAATAATAAGTGAAATGAATGTAACCTCTTTTGCCAGAAGCTGAGAACAAAAGAGGACAGATTGCAGTGGTTGAGTGTTAGAACAGGGAGTCCCAGCTTTAGTTTGCTGGGCCATCTTGGTCAGTCACAAGCCTAATCCAGAAATCCCTAACTATTTTGGCCTGGGAGCTCATTTGTGAAGCTATTATGTGCACTGCCACAAAATGGTTGCCATGGGGAGCTTGTCTAGTGACAAAGTGATGGCCTAGCGAGTAGTCACAAAATGCAAATAACCTGTCCATGAAATTCAGTACAGTGGCGCCCCGCAAGACGAATGCCTCGCAAGACGAAAAACTCGCTAGACGAAAGGGTTTTCCGTTTTCTGAGTCGTTCTGCAAGACGAATTTCCCTATGGGCTTGCTTCGCAAGACGAAACGTATTGCGAGTTCTTGAGAGTTTGTTTCCTTTTTCTTAAAGCCGCTAAGCCGTTAATAGCCGCTAAGCCGCTAATAGCCGTGCTTCGGAAGACGAAAAAACCGCAAGACAAAGAGACTCGCGGAATGGATTAATTTCGTCTTGCGAGGCACCACTGTATCAGGCAAAGGTTGGGTCTGAGTTCCAAATACCAAACCACTATCCTCCCACTGAAGGCCAAAACTGACTGTGCAGGCAGTTTGAAACTGCACCAAAATCCTATTTTTTCCTTAGCTAAAATCCATTTACTTGAGCTCTGAGCTCAATGCATAAACAAAAGCCCGGCTGTATAGACAAGTGCTCAGAGCCCTCTCCTTTATCAGTTGTGACGGCAACTATGGCCTTCACTGTACCAGTAGTAGAACAGGACAGAGAGAAGACACGCCTGTGCTTTATCTTACGTCCTGGACACACTCTGACACACAAACCCAAGTCTGGGAACAGAACAAACGCCAGAGCGTGTTCCCAGAGATGATTACCTCTTCCCAGATAAGAGGAGGAAGAGGAATACCCTTTTATGGTCAGAAGTACAGGAAGGAAACCCCATTTATGGTTAAGAGTGCCGGAGCAGGAACATCTGTGATGTCAACCTGCGTGTACAAGCTGACGTGGCTGGGGAAGGAGGGAGAGGGTGCCTGGAGGATATATGTATTGCATGAAACTTGTCATTTCTTTGGACTTGCTGTAGACTCACCACGCAAGTGCCTTCTGCTATCCGGAGAGCAGAATAAACTCTTTCTTTGAACCAACTAGGTGTCATTTGACTTCCTTCCTCCTGTCGCAGAGCAACGCAGACCCAATCGGTGAACTTCAATAAGGCTACACCACCAGCGCATAACAAACTAAGCATTTGCAAAAGGAAAACTGGTGGTGCTCAGAGAAACACAAATAAACACCACACATATGCACCTCAAAACCAACTGGCAAAATATCCAAATATCCCCCCCCAAAAAAAAAACCCCAAATGCCTGCCAGCTTCTCACTGCCTCCTGGCACATCTGGCAGTTTTAGCTGCCCTGTCCTCTTCCAGCCTATGAAAGATGGCTCTGGGTCTACATGGCAACCAGAAACACTTTGTGGAAAAGAATGGAAGAGGCTGTCATGGCTGGAAGTCTGCTCTTCACTTTCCAGTGAGCATAGTCGTTGCACAAAGTAAAAAGGAGCATCTCCACCCCCATCGTTCTGCCCAGACACTGAGGTCCAGTGCCGAGGGCCTTCTGGCGGTTCCTTCACTGCAAGAAGCCAAGCTACAGGGAACCAGGCAGAGGGCCTTCTTGGTAGTGGCACCCGCCCTGTGGAACGCCCTCCTGCCAGATGTCAAAGAGAAAAACAACTACCAGACTTTTAGAAGACATCTGAAGGCAGCCCTGCTTAGGGAATCTTTTAATGTTTAATAGACTATTGTATTTTAATATTCTGTTGGAAGCCGCTCAGAGTGGCTGGGGAAACCCAGCTAGATGGGTGGGGTATAAACTATATATTATATTATATTATATTATATTATATTATATTATATTATATTATATTATATTATATTATATTATATATCATATCATATCATATCTTATCTTATATCTTATCTTATATCTTATCTTATATCTTATCTTATATCTTATCTATAAAAAACAAATGAGCTCAAGGCAATCTTGTTTTGAATTTTTAAAAGGAGTTTTTGGTGTCAGTTTTTAAATTTTTCAATAAAGTTTTTTTGGGGGGTTAGGAGTGACAGATGGCCTTGATGGTTGGGGAGATGGTTGGGGGTGGGGGCATCATGGCATTACATTGGGGATCCTAATCTATTTCACAGGGTTAGATAAAATACGTGAGAAGAGAACCATCCATGCTGCCCTGAAGCTTCTTTGAGGGAGGGAAAAACAGTAACAAATGTAATAGAAATGTTGTAAGTGAATCATGCAAAAATTGTTCTTTGCTCACATTCCTTTGGACTCACTCCTGACATGCACAGTGTTTTGCAGAATGGTCTGCAGTTCCTGCTGTTGCTGACTATTAGCCTTGCTGGCTGGGGTTGATGGGAGCTGTAGGCCAGAAATCTGGTGGGCATTGCATTAGCTACGCCTGGCGTATTTGATTATGTCTGTGGTTGTATGAGGCAGCTATTTTTTTTACCTGGCTTTCAGCAGAAAGCAGACCTCTTTAGACATGGCTTTGTGAAATCTAATCACCAACATTATTACCATCAGCAAATTTTTATTTGTTTGTACGCTTATGCTAAAACTTCTGTTTCCTTTGTGAACAATTTACAATCTGTCTGACTTTCTGGAAATGCATAGTTGGTGGGAATTCACAGTATATATATAAGCAATTATAAGAATTATATTTCTTTTTCATGCAGTGTAAATATAGCACAGCTTACCTTTTACATTAAATATTTGTCTTTTGAAAATACTGCTATAAAATCAGCCTTGACTAACTTTCACAGTGGGGATTTAGAAGTGACATCAAATTTAAATGTGAAAATGGTTTCCTAGTTTCCTGCTAATTTATTTTATTCTATTATTTTTATTTATTACATTTGTATGCCGCCCTATATCCATAGGTCTCAGGGGCAGTTCACATGATAAAATCATAATATACCGTATTTTTCCATGCATAACACACCCCTGTGTATAAGACGATCCCTATTTTTTGGGTCTCCAAATTAAGAAAATGGGGAGAGATTGCCCATAGTTGTTAAGCTCCAAAGCCACCAATCTTATGTGCACTCACCAGCAGCCGCCAAAATTTGCTGTAGAGATACTTCCTAGTAAATATACTATATTTTTCGTTTATAAGATGCCCCCAGGTATCAGACAACCCCTATTTTGGGGGACTCACCAATCGGCAATCCACCCCCAGCACTATCCGTGTATAAGATGCCCCCTAATTTTTGACATTGTTATTTAGGGGGGAAAACCTAGTCTTATACATGGAAAAATACGGTAGTTTCTCGCTCTCATCCTAACCTCTCTTACAGGGTTCTTTTTGAGGATAAAATGAGAGAGAAAGAACCTGTAAACCATTCGAGAGTTGCTTGGAGGAAGCAATGGTGTATAAGAAATAAATAATATCTAGAGGTTTAAGTTTGTTCTAAGGAGCCTTCTCTAGCTCCCTGTATTAACAAGTTGTGGGTGGTATTTACTCAGAGTAGAATAATTGAATTGACTAAGTTAGGTCCATTAATATAAATGGGTCTAATTTGTTTATCTAACTTAGTTGAATGCTACCCTATAAATAAATTTCTGTTCCACTACTGAAACCCCTGCTTGCTTCATAGTTGATTCAGTTCTTCCCATTCCTGTCCCCAAGGTCCAGACTTCGAACAAACATAAATACGCCCATTGTGTATACTCTTACTGCATTAGCTATGCCTTTCACGTTCAACTGATTCTTTTTCATTATCCTTCCACAAGTATAAGCATCCCTTTGAAGCTCTTTGACACAAACACAATAGAAATCACAGCTGTTATGAAAACGGCTTGTCAGTTTATGATGACCTTGTGGCAGTAAATAAAAGTGATGTCTTTTGCAACGCTCTAACCATTTATCTCTCCCTCTATTTTCCTCAGCACTGGCTGGAGCCCAACAAGGCTATCTCCAAGCAAATGAAATGTAAGTGTTGATAGCTCAGTTTAAAATGTGGCGGGCTAGTTTAAAAGTGCCATGTGGTAGCATGTTTCTATCCCCTTCCCCACTGTATGAGATGGTTTCTTTATACCTGCTATACTTACTCTTGCTTGATTTCTTGGGCCATTTCACGTGACTGGGTTCATTGCGCCTGAGCAATAACTCAGTTCATTCAGAGAGAGCTGTGAAGTGTTGAGTAACATAAAGAAATGAGCGCCATATTCCTACCCGTTTGTTTTGGTATTCACAAACTTTATGCAAGTCCTAAAAGGGACTTACTGGGAAATATTGCCCGGTTTCAAGAAAGAGCTATGCAGTTTCTGACATAGCCCCAAAGTTGTGGTTTCCTAAAAGCATCTGATTGGCCACTGTGAGAATGGGATGTGGGATTAGACAGGCTGCTGCCTGATCTAGCAGGCTCTTATGTTCCAGTCCAAAACATCTGGAAGACAGCAGGCCGGAGAAGGTATATAGGATTGTGTTGTAGATTGCAAGGCAGGCTTCCTCAAACTCGGCCCTCCAGATGTTTTGAAACTACAATTCCCATAATCCCTGACCACTGGTCCTGCTAGCTAGGGATCATGGGAGTTGTAGGCCAAAAACATCTGGAGGGCCAAGTTTGAGGAAGCCTGTTGTAAAGGAAAAAAGTTGTGTGATTCTATTTAAATATTTCCTTCCTTCTTTCCTTCCTTCCTTCCTTCCTTCCTTCCTTCCTTCCTTCCTTCCTTCCTTCCTTCCTTCATAAATGGCCGCAACTACTGTCATTTGCTAGTGATTTGATATGATGCCTGAGACGAAAGCTCAGTTTGTAGTATCTGAAGACTTGACTTTAGATAGTGAGATCTGCTGCTTGTTTTACTTATGTAGGTTGTTGTCAACATGGTTGATTTATGAAAAGGAGGGAAGTTCTGTCCCTTTAGTAGCATTGTACATTTTCAATAGAAGCATAAGTGATTCAGCAGCTAGCAGTGTATGACAGAATTTAGACATGTATATCTGAATGAATAAAATTGAGGCTGCAAACTTATACTCACTTAGGTAAAGGTACCCCTGAACGTTAGGTCCAGCTGCGGACGACTCTGGGGTTGCGGTGCTCATCTCACTTTACAGGCTGAGGGAGCCGGCGTACAGCTTCCGGGTCATGTGGCCAGCATGACTAAGCCGCTTCTGGCAAACCAGAGCAGCGCACAGAAACACCGTTTACCTTCCCACCGGAGCGGTACCTATTTATCTACTTGGACTTTGATGTGCCAGGGACCAAGTAACGGGAGCTCATCCCGTTGCGGGGATTTGAACCGCTGACCTTCCGATCGGCAAGCCCAAGGCTCTGTGGTTTAGACCACAGCGCCACCCGCGTTGTATAGAATTGCACTATATATTTTTAGTTGTCCAGAGGAGTCTTCAATGCTCTCCTCATTTCCTTAAAAAGGTAAAGGTATAAAACCATAATTTTAAAACAAGATCCACAAGAGACATAGACAACATAAGAAGGTCAATGTGTCACATATATCCATTATACAGAGGGGCGGGGGTCTGCCCACAATTTTCCTGATGGCCTTCTAGTGCAGTATGATGATCTTTCTTTTAGTGGCTTTCATGAATTCTGTTTGATTAGCTATAATTTGTTGAAATTAAGTGTGAATAGATATTATCAGTCTCTAGGTGACCCCCCCCCCACAAAGAAACATGTGCAATCTGCTCTTAGCATTCAGAAGGGGAAGCAAGAGTGAAGTTAAATAAGCAAACTGATAAATTAATGCCACTATCTGTGGCAAAGAGAATGATAGAACCAGTAGCGAAAGCCCATAAAGTTTAACAGAAAAGTGAAATGGGAGAATATCCTTCCAAGTACTGGTGAACCTGGCTGAAAAATGGCCCTGGGTCAGAGAATATTCAAGCTTTATGGGATGGTCAAATTCATATCCTGAACCAGCTTTTTTCATATTCAGTGGCAATTCAATTCTGTTGAACATATTACAAACCCCTCTGATGTGTGGGGCCCTTGTACATGGGATTCCTTGCCGTTAACAGTTTGTGCATGGCTGTCAGGCTACCATCCCAAAATACGATTGCAGTGACTCTTACTTGAGAGTAAGGAAGAGATCTTTATTTGGGGTAATATTACATGCTCAGCAGCAAGCGCAAGGTCCAGAAGTCAAGACTCCAAGGTGTAAGAGCAAGACAAGAGGTTCATAACTGAATGGAAATTACAAAGATGTCCTGATAGCTGACAAAGCCCTTCCAGCAAGCTTTTAAAGATGAGGGAGGAGGAGCTCACTCACAAGACTCTCTCACCCTGTGGGTCTTGAGTCCACCTACGAAGGTGATGCCTGATTCTTGGAAATAAAAATGCCCTGCCCTTTTGCCTCCAGTTCTGCCACTCCCTCCTTTGGTTCAGCATCTCTCCCTGGCTGAAGTTCTCCCTTCTCCCTGATGAGGCTCTGCACTCCACAGGAGGAGTGATGGAGAGAGTTAGCAGATCTGCGTCCCCCTCTCTGATATCTTCCTTCATCCTCCCATCTTGGGTGCCATCCTCCCAGCCCTCCATCTGCTCCTTCATCTTCCTCCTCTTCCGTCCGGGGCTACTAAGCCATGCCAGTTCTTGGCAGAGCGGAGGGGCCCCTGACATCGGCATCTTACAGGAAGCTTTTATCTTTCCCTTCCCTTTGTCTCTTGAATACTCTTGGTGCGTAAGCCAGCGAGTTATTAGCATCACTTTAAAGATGCTGCACTGAATTCATGGCATGGTGTGTAAAATCCTTTTAAACGATTATGATTATGAATCCATTTCAGCAAAAGAGCTGTTCCTCAGATGACAGGAAAGTCTGTGACAAATCTTGGGCCCTCCAGTGTACCAGCTGGGCCTTATCTGACAGATAAAAAGGCTGTTCTGAAAGAAGGACTCACTGCTACAATAAACTTGATTATTTATGCTTCTTTTGCATGAGAATACTTTAACCAAAACAACATCTTATTTTTCTTTTCCTGCTCCAGTTTTCCTTTTCAGTTCTTTGAGTGACTGCTAGGCAATAGGTCTGTTGCACTGTGCATATGTGTGTAATTTACTGGCCAGTGCTGTTTTTCTCATGAGTCACTAACCTTTGTTTATTGTTCCATAGGCTTGTGCCACAGAGCCACATTAAAAATTGCAAAACCTTGATAATGAAGTCCACTGCTATTAAAATGGCAATCCTTGCAGCACTTTCCGTCCTTTCCATGCACAACTGAATGATCCTTTAGCACTTTATGCAGGGTGAAGACAAGGCCATGTTCGATAATGGCTTGTGTTTGTTGAGTGTCCATAGAGAAAAGGCTATCCCAGTGAGAAATTTATAGAAAAGGTTATTGCCTGTTCTGGTCAAGACCCCTGTAGACTCCAGTTTTTGTTTAAAGAGTGTATTATATTTCCCTTTATGTTATGGATGGGCAAACATTAACAAAAAAGCCTGACTGCTTTCAGATCTTATGCCTGGCATTCACCAAAGCCAAGGCATATTCTGTGTAAAAGGTGTGAAATTCAGCCATAGAGTTTTTGTTTTGTTTTGTTTTAGGGTCCTACATTACTGTTGTTCAATGGACAAACAGAATTGATAGCTCATTTAATGCCTTACCCACAGTGCTGGGCAAACACTCTATATTATAGTAATATAATATAGCTACAGTATTTTAATGTCTTTGGTATGCCTTTTTGCCCACAACTCATGCCAAGTAACAGATTCATCCTCAAAGTTTCAATTTTTTAAAATTGACATGGGCTTGAAAGTTTTTTCTCTAAAGTGTGGTAGAGGTAAGATGGAAGTAGTTTCAGTAAACTGTGAGTTGGTTGGTTTTCATCATTTCATCACTGAAACAAGTTCTCAGTGAGGTAGTAAGTGAATCCAGGTAGCGAATGTAGATGGACTGGTAGAACTCTTCTGTGGATTGGCTGGGATATTTGGCATGGCTTTTTCTGTTGTTTGGTTTGTCCAAGTGCTTTAAGTTCTACATTCACTTCATCTGTCAGTTTCACTGTTATGGTGCTAAATGTCTCCTCTTTAGCTTCCCTGTGCTGTTCCATTGTTCTCAAAAACTCTTGTGTATGTACTTTCATTTCTATTACATCTAACTGAACAGATTACAGAGCTTGGGTGTCCGGTTGTAGCATTGAAGAATATTTGCTTATGGTCACAAGATGAACAAATTAAAATTGATGTCCATGATGCACACAATAAGTGGTACAAAAGTTGTCTTGTCTTGGCTTTGCTTGATCCTGCGTATTGTTTGAGATGCAAGACAACACTTAGGTAACTTTATGCAAACGTAGGGATACTTGTGTATCGTTGAGTCTACTGTGTTTCACATTTCATTGGTACGTTAGGTTTTGGATGTCATCTTTAGATGCTCTAATGGAAAAAAACTGGCTCTAATTGTGCCAACTGTATTACACACATGATTACACTATTCAGATAATTTACAGTTAGATTAAGCCTATGGGATGAGCAGTGGCCAAAGGTTGCCTGAGGACTGAGTGTCCTGATTTGTGCTTGAGTCCCGCCTTCTTTTCCTGCCATGATTGAACAACCATCATATCCTTGTCCAACTAGCTTATTGCGATCTACTACAAAAATCAGAACAAGCAGATAATATTGTATTTGGTATGTCTACAGCAGTTTGGTCTGAGATTGAAATGAGCCCAATGATTCATTATCTATTCCCACCATTTTCTTCTATAAATCTTACACCTCATGATGGTTTTTCTATGCCAGAAATATTCTCTTTCATCTGCTAAAACTGAGAATCCCATGGAATCTGGCTTTCCCAACAATGCCTTTCTGCAGAATTTCACCACACAGCTTCATTAACTCATTTCCTCATTCTTGCAGATGTGTGCTTGGCCTTACCTGTCCCAGGTTTTTTAAAAACAAAACAAAATTAAACAAAAATCATCCATTGAATTAGCACAAAACTATAAAACCTCTATCATGTTACCTGTTGCACTGGTCTTACCATGCTGAACATGATCATGTGGTCCACAATCCCCAGGGGTTGATATGATAGAGTACAGCTTCAGTTTATTTCCTCTGGCTCTTATGACTTACTAAATTTCTGTTCAATTGACAGCATTTTCCAAAATGAAAATAGGCAAAAACAAATGAAAACCTGTAAAGTAAAGAGCAAACTGAAACATAAATATTCTAAAATACTAAAATGTTGCCACTATATATGCCTTCTTGGGAACATAGTATACTAAATATTGTTGAATGTGTCTGAGATGCTACTATACAACAAGATATGCGTGAGAGTATTTGTTCTAGTAAATATTATTATGCTTTTTAATTACAAGTTAATGATTATAGTCAATTTAACATGCAGACAGTGGAAAAGAGCTCCAGAAATGTGAAAGGAAATCAACACCCCCTCCCTCCTTCCCTTCCCCCTCCCTTTCTTCTGTATAAGGAATTTCTGAAGAAGTGAAATTCCTTACTGTGAGAATAGAGAGATTAAAAATATGCAAGAGTGACTCTATCATGTGTTGAGTGTTAAAGGATCTGCCATGTTTGCAAAGTCCAAATAATGTTTATTGAAAGGGATACAGGGTCAGAGAGAGGATTGTTGTACCTAAGATCCTGATACCACTAATCTGTCCACTTCTCGCATCCCAGTAGATTATAACAATTCAAAAATATAGCGACTTGCCCTTTACAAGTGAACCATAATCACCCTTGGCTGAAAGTGATTTTTCATTGACAGCTCGGAGCTGGTTCTTAAAACCAGATGAGTCTTTCCATACACTTTAATAGACTTAGACCTGGTTTAGGATCAAGTAACATGGATATTCACACATTGAGGTATCCTTGGCCAATACCAAGGAAACCAGTGATCCAAAACATACTGTCGTATTTATGTACCTAATGAACTGAGCTAGCAAAATGATTTAAAATTTACACAACAGTCTGAATATATTACATTGTTCTTTCTTTCTTCAGCCACTTGCTTCCTTCATCTTATTTATCCATTTGCGGCTGACTTTCACACTCTGCTTCCCCCCTTTGCACTGTTTTTCCTTAACTCTCCTCCATTGTCCATTTTACAATTTGTCAATTATTTGCTTCATAACAGTAAGTCAGGTCCTCAAAAAGATGAAACTGAGAACTTCATAAAAAAACATTGCTGGTTTCACAAGAGCTGCCTAACTGGTTTTTAAATTATGTGTAATGATGCCATATTGACCCACCCAATCATTGTTGGACTGTCAATGTACTTAAGTCTTACAGTTTCTTCTTAGAAATACTTAAACTTGAATGTATATGATGCATATCGCAGTGAAATATAAAAATACAAAAGAATAAAGGAAGAAGCTTTGCCCCGATAGAAGAGCCTGGATGTTGTGTTTTATTATGGTGAGGGATGGCTTGGGAGATATCTAATTAATAGCACAATCCTATTATGAATGCTTATTCAGTCTCCACTGCGTTCAGTGAGGCTTATGGAATATGGAATCAAGTAGACATAAAATTGCAGTCCTCCTACATACATTTTCTCCACTGAATGCAACAAGACTTTTGAGGATGCCTGCTTAGGATTACATTATAAGACTGTACCAGTTTCTGGGAACAAGAAGCCACAAGTTTCCAAGATCAAGTAAATATAATAAAACCTCAAAGCAGTTTACAAAGACAATAAAGCAATAAAATTATCAGTAAAAACAGTTGAAAACAACTATTTAACACGTTTTTAAAGAATCAGGAATGAACCAAAAACAGAAAACACATATAAACAGTCTACATATCTGGGCAGGCTTGTCTAAACAAAAGCGATTTTAGCAGGCGCCGGGAAAGACTATAGTAATGGCATAGCCTGGTGTCAATATGCAGAGGATTGATTTTTTGCAAATGTGGAACAGGTATTATGTGGCTCCCATAATGTTGCCAGTCCTGCCAGTTTATTCAGTGCCCGTTCATTCAGAGACTTGCTTCTGAACAAACATGCATGTTGTAAATTACAGCAGGAGCCGCTGCTTACCAGGTGGGGGAGGGGAGGCATTGGCGAGGACGCGGCTGCAAGGGCGTAGCAGCAGGGGTGTTGGGGGAAGTTCCACAGGTGTGTCTGCACAACCCCAACCTCATCACCGCCTTGCCCCTCCCCTTCCCAGTAAGACACAGTGACACCAGTGCTGAGAGGCTCTTGCTATATCTCCACTCCACTGGATGGAGGCCAAATAAGAATTTTATCGCCGCTTGAGAAAGTGCCTTGTATTTCTCATTCCATCGCAACCTACATTCTTCTCCACCACTAAAGACAATTACATAAATAAATAATGCAAGCAGTCTTTTATTTCCCATGTCTTTTCTACCTGCATGTCTAGATTACGCTACACGTGAAGTACCGTATTTTTCAGTGTATAAGACTAGGGTTCCCCCCCAAAAAAATAATGTTAAAAATTAGGGGGCGATTTATACACGGATACATCTCCCCCCATTTTCTTAAATCTGAGTCCCCCAAAATAAGGGGCATCTTATACATGGGGGCGACTTAGAGACGGAAAAATACGGTAAATCGGCAGAGGTGCCAGCTTGCAAGGGCAATTGGGGGGAGCCAACATTGTGTGCATGATGTCATATGTGATGTCAATGTCCTGACATCGCGCGGAGCTGGGGGTGGAGTTGAACACAGCAGCCATGGCTGCTTCGATCCTCCTTCCTCTCCACAGCAGCAGGAAGAGGAGAAGGAGCTGGCCACTGTAGCCATGCCATGCTCGGCTCCACAATTCGCCTTTGCGCTTTTTGTACATGGTGGGGCAACCAAAGCCACAAAAATATTGGGGTGTGTGTGTGTGCAAAAAGGCTTGGCCCCTAGGAGCTGGTGCCCCTCCTCTCATGATATAGTTGCAAAACTGGTGTGTGAATTTAAAGGTGCTACAGGCTGCTGGGCCAAGTAATTCCTAAGCAATATCATCTGAAATCTCTGGAGTGGCAAGGCCTGTCTAAGTACTGAGAGCCTAGCCTTCTGTCCTTCTCTGCACAACAAAACAGAACTTTCTGTCTACTGAATGTCTCCAGACTACAGGAACATGGTTTATAAACCACATTGTCCATATACGGATCATTGCACAGCCCCTGGTCCAGCCCAGATACAACCAATAATTAGGATTTTTAAAAAATCTTTATGGTGGAATTTCTCTGGCTTCCTTTCTTCAATTAAAAAATGACATGGTACACCTCTCTAGTTTAGACTGACTATATTGTGCTTATGCTTGGATCTTCCTTATCACACATTAGATCCACTTTTTGCTTGTTTCTCTTCTTAATTTGCTGCACTGCATCTCACAAGCTATTCTGAGAAACCAATGGTAACATTTCCTGCAGTGCAAGAGAGGCCATGTTTTATGCTGCTTTTCTCATGCTTTTTCTTTATAATGTTTCAGCTCATCCACCATATACCATGTGCTTTAGAGTGAAATTCTACCCACATGAACCACTGAAGATTAAAGAAGAGCTCACCAGGTATTTTTTTTTATCCCTGTCTGTTCATTTAGTCAATATTTTGCGAGCATGGCTATCTCTATCATCAGCTATGATATGCTAACCTACATTTTAGCTAACTAAAATTGTCCACTCATATGCTGGAAATTTTAAAAACTGCTTCTGAGAGCTAAAATTGGGCCACCGGTGATTAGCAGCAGAGTAAAGGTGTTTATATGAAGCACGCGATGGTGAGGCACTGGTAGAAAATGGGATGTGAAGCTAGATTCCTGGGCTCCTTTTCTTCTCCTCTAGCCCAGTAGGCCTCTTGGGATACACTGCTTTTGAAATTCCTGCAGGGTTAATCTGTGGCATACTTACTCAGAGGTAAGTCCCACTGGGTTCAGTAGGCTTCACACCCACATAAATGTTCATAGTTTCACCCTGTTGGGGCAAGGACACCCACTTGTGCTATGGGACTTCCTCTCCTTTCCTTGTGTGCCCTGTGTGCTCCCCCCAACTCTCTGGGGCAGATGGGGGGGCTGCAGAGAGAGGAGAGGGCAAGGAAGCCCCATTGCATAGGTGGAAGCCCTTGTATCTGGGTGATGACATAGTTGCATACAACTCACAGTTCAAGGTATTCATCTGTTTCCAAACAGAGCTATGGGTTTGGACAGTTCCAGTGTGCATAGAAATAAACCTCTAGGTCATGGGTAGGCAAGCTAAGGCCCGGGGGCTGGATCTGGCCCAATCACCTTCTAAATCCTGCCTGCGGATGATCCAGGAATTAGCGTGTTTTTACATGAGTAGTATGTGTGCTTTTATTTAAAATGCATCTCTGAATTATTTGTGGGGCCTGCCTGGTGTTTTTACATGAGTAGAATGTGTGCTTTTGCACGTCTGGGTTATTTGTGGGGCATAGGAATTCGTTCACCCCCCCCCAAAAAAAAATATAGTCCGGCCCCCACAAGGTCTGAGGGACAGTGGACCGGCCCCCTGCTGAAAAAGTTTGCTGACCGCTTCTCTAGGTTCTGGAGCAAGCCTGCCACCAACCAGCATGCTAACTTATTGTTTTCAATTAATTTTACTTCACTTATTGTTTTATTTTCTTGCCACATCTTTCTTCGCCCTGCCTATGAACAACCCTGAAAGTGCTAACATCGTAAAAAAGTAAAAAACAAATAATAATTAAAGTGTGGCCGCCAACAGAAACAAAAAGCCAAAATGAAAACGGCCATGGTGAGAACTGGTTTTTGTGTTTTGGTTTTTTTACCAAGTTGTGCTTCATAGGAACACTTGCTTTGTAGCTGAAATTATGGAGCTAAGTCAACCCAACAGTGGTAGAAAAGCCTTGCCCAGACTGGGATCTTCCTGGGATGTTTTACGGGAGTTTTACAACTCCCATGAGCCATAGCCATGAGACTTGTGCTACCTGGGTATGCTGGGAATTGTATTCCAAAATATTTGGAGGACACCAAGCAGTGGAAACCTTGGAAGACGCGCTTCCCTACCTCTTTCAATCCCTAACTTCTCCCCGCTAAAAACAGAGTGAGATCTGCTTGCACAAGTGTTTGAGGGGTTAGATGCTTCCTGTATTCCAGAGGGCTGGGAGATACCCCCAGACACATTTTGGCAAAGTGTGGGTAACTGGTGTGGGGGTGAGAAGTCTCACTGTGCAACTGGATTTCCATCATGCCAGTGAGTGGAGAACCCTCATTTTGCCCTCATTTTTCTGCTGTGCCTTCCCTGGGCATAGCCAGGATTTTTGTTATGGGGGGACAGAACTGATGTGATTGGTCAATTAGTTAAGTATTTCTATTGTTTTACTTGATCTAAGGGGGACAGCTGCCCCCCCGGCTATGCCCATGGTGATGAATGTTTTTAGATGCTGCCCATTACAAACTAGTAATTGTTTATTTTGAGCAATTCAAATTATTTATAAATCAAAACGTAGTTTATTAAAAAATACAAAAATGCAACACTGCGTATTGGCAGGAGGCATTATAAATTATTTTTATCAGCGGCATAAATATTTGAAATAACGTCAGTCTGTCTGGGAAAAGAAAACATTGACAACCCTAGGGAGAGGCTGTGTGAAAATGATGTTTGTTTATTTTGACAGCACACTGTGTGTAGCAATTTGCTCTGTTGGCTGACATTGCCAATTAAGTGTTTTCCTCCATAGGTTGTAAAGATCTTTCACTGAGCGATGGGGGAAATAGTTAAACACCTGGGAGGAAAGCTATGGTAAAGTCACAAATTTAGCAAAAGGAAAATCACCTTAATTTTTATCTCTCTCTCTCTCTCCCCCCCCTTTTTTTGCACTGTATGCAGCATTGCTAGCGAAGCTTAAAGGGTGCAAAATCCTTTACAGAGCTAGTGTTTTCTATCAGTTTTTGAGAATGTTCTTTTGGAATTTGTTACTGAAGAATCCTTTGTTACCCAACTTTCTAGTTGTCCCTAAAGTTGTAATGATGAGACATTGGCAAAGTAAATTTTGGAACAGTCAAATAAGCAAGGGAAACCTTTTAACACAGGGGGGCGCTTTGTATACTACATTTTTATTTGGGACTCAGAAATTAATACCAGCATACATGCCTAGTATTATCATTATTAAGAAAAACATTTCTAAACTGCTTTTCATCCGATGGATGCTAGAAAAATGTACAGCAAACATAAAAATGAATCCAAAATGCAGTTATAATAGCCATCAAAGCAATTACTTACTGAGAGGCAACAAAAGATTTTAAAAGCTAACGGGAGGGTGAAGCAACAATTATGATGAATGACCCACTTCAAATAGTAATCCATGCATTTTGCATGCTAATTTCACATAGAAAGCAACTGTTAAAGGATTGGACTGCTGTTCCTGTCTATTTTGGAGGTAAAATCTGCAATTTATGCAAATAGATTCAGTTCATATAAGATGTTATACATATGTTGTTGAAACAAAATATAAAAAATCCTTCTAATGGCACCTTAGAGACCAACTAAGTTTGTTATTGGTATGAGCTTTCATGTGCATGCACACTTCTTCAGTTATGTTGTTTTTTCCCCATTTATTATATTCGTAATATGCATTTTTAATATTTCAAAATGAGCTGCAGTACTACTATTAATAAAATGTAGATACTCATCACACTACTGTGTTTTGCAGTGCATTAAATGCTGAATGAATATACTTTTTGATACTTTAATCCAGCACTGTCCAACTTATGGTTCAAATTGTATGCAAATATGAGCTGTCATCTGATAAGAATTTGGTTTTGGAAACCTACACACTGTATGCTGTCAGTCAGAAACAGGCAACACTAAAAGATTATGTCACCACTACTGATCTCTTCCTAAAAACCTATTTATGCATTATCTCACACTTGAGCCTTTCTTTCAACCTTTGAAAACATAAACTTATAGCGATGGGGGAATCCAATGTATCTTGTGTATAGAACAGCGTAGCATGTACTGAGATGAAAACATTAAATTCCTCTCTGTGGAATTTGTATGAGTTCTCACCAGAATGCAACCAGTTCCCCAAATGTGCTCCTTAGCCAGAACAAATTCCCAGGGTAGTGCAAACTGATTTACACAACTAGGAAGTGTTATTAAAACTCCCCCCTTCATTTAGAGGCTAGTGTGGTACCTCAAAGTATAATCATGCTGTGGACTTATTTAGCACATTGCCTTGTGAAGTAAGAATTTTTGTATCTGTTCACTATAGTGGAACAAATTTTCTCTCTTGAGAATCACTAGCACTTATGTAACGTGAATTTTTCAAAGGAGTTTAATGAACTGTGGACTGGCCAAAGATTACATTAGGAAGATGCCACAAAAAGGGCAATTATGAATGAAGCACAACAATAATGAATTCTGCAGTAACCTTCCTTATTGGACCCCACCCCCAAACAACTTTTTGAACGATTAAAGATCCCTGGATTTCAGAGTAGAGCTGGGATCCAAATTACTAGAGGACTGGGTGTGGGTTGTTGTTGTTTTGTTGAGAAACAAAAGTCCAAAACTTCCCCTTTATGTGTGTGGAAATAGTTACACAGAACTTCAGATCCTAGGCTAGGGATGTAGTTTCTAATAACCTATGCAAAAAATCTATGTGGCACACAGTTGCGAACATATTTTCTTGTGTGTTTTTAGTAACCACAGGGAGGCAGCAATCTTGAGCAGAAGACCACTGTGAAAGGAGGCTGCTTAACCCTTGCCTTTCCAGTCCCTTCCCTCACAAAACAGTCCATTCCCCCAAGATCCTTTTTTCCACTTGTGGAGAAAAAACATACGGATGCCCCTACCTTTTCCCACAAGGGGAGAAGAGAGCGGCTGGGAGAATGATTCTGAGTTGGAAAATGGCCAGAGGGCAAAAGGTCAAGCCAAGCAGCCCATTCCTTCCCTCTCCTAGTCTTTTATTTAAGATTCAGTTTCCCAAGATTCACCTGCTGTTGGTTAAAAAAAAAAAAATCATGGAAAATGATACCTGAACATGAAGTGGGGTCCAGCCACATAGGAAAATGTGTTTTCTTGCACTTTTTCTTAGCATTTTGATTAGATTTGCATGGCAAAACTTCCACTTGAATGCCTTAGTCCAATGGCTGGAACAGAAACACTGAGCATGGTTTGACTCAAGAGTAGACCCACTCAAGTTAATGAACCCAGCCTAGTCATTTATTCCAGTTGGTCTACTTTGAGTAAAATACCACCCTGTGTAGATTTATACATGGGGGAAAAATGAATGCGTTTGCTATTGTCCTGAGAGTCTTCTGTAGGAACTAAGAATATATTGGAATCTTTTAAAGGCACAGCTGTGATAAAAGGATTATAAATTAAATATTGCATCTCAGCTTTGTTCATAAGCAGCATGCTTAATGCCATTCTTTCTTTTTCAAGACATGGCCCGGTTGGTAGAAAGGAGAAAATATATTCGTACCAGCAACCTGATTTTTACTTCTGCATTGGCTCTCTGGCCAACTACATTAGCTAATGTTGTGATGTACATTGCTTAAATGAGAATAAAGGCAAAATAAATATAGAAACAGAATCTTCATAAGACAGGGTCCCATCCAACTCTATGATTCTATGTGTGTTATATATAGTATTTTTCCTTACACCATGCAGGTACCTTTTATACCTACAAATCAAAAGAGACATTTTCCATGGCCGCTTGCTGTGTTCATTTTCTGACGCTGCCTTCCTGGGCGCATGCATTGTCCAAGGTAAGTGTAGACAACAGCATCTTCAGACCTTTTCTCAGCATCACGACTATATATATATATATATATATATATAGCAATATCAAAAACCTTATGAAAGTTTTTATAAACTAATTTGGTTTGGATCCAGATTTAGTTAGTCATAGTTTAGTCCCATTGAAATTGATATGATCTTAGTTAGCAATAGCAGCTGCTGCTGGGGGTGTATGTGGGAGCAGGGACATGGGTGGCGCTGTGGTTTAAACCACTGAGCCTCTTGGGCTTGCAGATCGGAAGATCGGCGGTTCAAATCCCCATGATGGGGTGAGCTCCCATTGTTCTGTCCCAGCTCCTGCCAACCTAGCAGTTCAAAAGCACGCCAGTGCAAGTACCTCTGCGGCGGGAAGGTAAACGGCGTTTCCGTGCTCTCTGGCTTCCGTCAAGGTGTCCCGTTGCGCCAGAAGCGCTTTAGTCACACTGGCCACATGACCCAGAAAGCTGTCTGTGGACAAACACCAGCTCCCTTAACCAGAAAGCGAGATGAGCGCCGCAACCCCATAGTCGCCTTTGGCTGGACTTAACCGTCCAGGGGTCCTTTACCTTTACCTTATGTGGGTGCAATCTCCTCCTGGCAACGGCAGTGTTGCATTTGCCGGGGTGGAGTAAGGCAGCAGTGCAGGTGGTAGAGCTCCAGGTTGGTGGGAGTGATGCCATCGCTGGCGACCACTTGCGATTTCACTCTGTCGCACACTATCCCAGTACAGTGGCACCTCTGGTTACAAACTTAATTCATTCTGGAGGTCCGTTCTTAACCTGAGGTACCACTTTAGCTAATGGGGCCTCCCACTGCCGCATGATTTCTGTTCTCATCCTGAGGTAAAGTTCTTAATCCGGGGTACAACTTCCGGGTTAGCGGAGTCTGTAACCTGAAGTGTTTGTAACCTGAGGTGTTTGTAACCCGAGGTACCACTGTACCAGGAAGCAGTGGCATCCACTGCAGGAACCACTGCCTCTCTGCCAGCTAGATATTATTCATTCATTTGTTTATTTTTCACAGAACTGATATACTGTTTTTGCTGAAATAAAACAGCAAAACAGGGACTTACGCATGACAAGCTTAGTCTGGAGCCGTCAAAATTATAAATAAATACATAGCTGAAATAACAGGCTGTGTGTAGCTTTTTCTGTTTCTCTTTGGGGAGAGGGTTCCAAAGGCACCACAACCAAAAAGGCTGTCCCTTCAGTAGACATCTGCTTAAGATTTGAAACTGCCAGAGAAAGGCTTTCTGAATGACATTTAACAGGAGAAAGAACCATTCAGATACCTGAGTCACAAACTATATAGGGCTTTAAGGTAAGCACCAGTGTCTCAATATTATGTGCGGAGGTCTATTCATATATTAATTACAAATAATTCACTGTCAGTTTATTTTTTGTGACTAGGGATTCAATTTAGGTAACTGCTCACATATTTGGTATTTCTTCCCCTAATCTTCTTTGCATTTTTATCTGTGCAGCTGAGTTCGGTGACTATGATCCCGATGAACACTTGGACAATTATGTCAGTGAGTTCAAGATTTTCCCCAAACAATCCCAAAAGCTGGAGAGAAAAATACTTGATATACATAAAAACGAATTCAGGTAATTTTGAAAGCTGATTAAAGGATGTATTAAAAGAGGATTATTTAACTATTATTTGTTAGTTCTTTCTGCAGGTTGTAACCTACACAGGTAGAAAATAAAAATCTGTATTTTAAAGGGGTCAGTAGATGACAATGCAGTATAAAATTTTCCAAGTCATCAGATCTGCTCAATATGTTATGATCTAAAACTGAACCGAAACCATGGTAAGGCCACAATTAAGCTCATTGATTTCAGTGAGCTAATACAGATGCAACTCCATATTTGATTGGTTTAAAAACACTTTGGTTTAAGAACGGACTTCTAGAACAGATTAAGTTCGTAAACCAAGGTAAACTACTGTATAAACTCTCAAAAGATCAACAAGTAACATATAATCACAACATACATATTGTTTTATATTCTCTATTTTTTACCTGGATGTAGCAATTACTGAGCTAGCGTATATGAATGTCACTGCTACTGACAAGTGGAAATTTTGGTTTTGCTGGTGAATTATAAAGAAAAGAACATGCTTGCTATCTAAAGGTTTAGAACATACTTGATGTTCAGTTACTTTCTGGTTAAACATTTTACCATTTCCTGAAGAGCAGCTAGTTAGTTTGTGGTGCCTTCCAGTTAAGACTAACTTGTTTACTACTGCAACATATTCACAGGCAAGAGTCTACCTCTTTGTTTTTTTCAAAAATAATAATTGTATTTTTCATTTTCAGCTTTTACAAATATTTTGACAAGAAACACAAAATCTTTACAAATCTAAATTACCTTCCCTTCGACTTCCCTCTGCTCCTTTCTGCGGTTACTTATTTCATATATTTTTATTACGGCATATCCAATTCAAATATATTAACAAATTTCCCCAAATCTCCCCCTTAATTGTCTCTTACTGCACATGTTTATATCAGTCCTGCTAATGTTTTAATTTGTTTACAGTATGTCTTCAAATAGTCAATAATTTTCCCCCATTCTATTTTAAAAAGTCTACTTTGATTATAGTTCTCTTTCTAGAAGAAAATCATATGAGAGGTTTCATTACTGCTTTCATTTTAATTGCCATTCTGTTGATTTTGTGGTAATTATCCTTTGAAGGATATTTTCTTATTACTGTTGGATGAGCACTTTTAATGTACATTACAGTTTTTAAACATTGTTGCTTGGTTTTTATTAGTTTGAATTTCTGTTCTAGTTGCTTTGAGACTGTTCCGATGTAAAGCAACTCATAAATGTAATGAATATTAATAGTTTATCATCATCATCATCATCATCATCGTATATATGTAGAACATTTCTCTCCTTTGACATATTATTTGATAACAAAACAGAATAGAGAGGACAAACCATTTCTCTCTCGCTATAGACATTTGCTGCCTCTTATTATTTTGGAGATAAACGTTGTTTTGGGAAAGGCTGCCCCCTTCAGGCATACTTTTCAACTGAAGAATTAAGAGCATAATTTAAATTATCCTGCAGTAGATGTGAAAAGTGTCATGGAATGTTGCTAGAAAACCATTGGCTTTGTTTATGTAACACTTGCAATTACCAGCAGATTCCAAGACCTAGAAGTAGTTGGAATTTCATTTAGGGAGAGATAAACTGTGCTAGCAGAATGCAGTATCCGAAGGCAAAGGGCCAGCACAAGACCATGCAGGGAACAGTATCTGCAGCCTGAGAAAGCGCCTGTTA